CACAACAGCCCAGTCTTCGCCAGAAATTCCCACGCCAACCGCAGCAGCCCAGCCCTCTACAGAAATTCCCACGCCACAAATCTCGCCTCTATCTTCTGTTCCGACGCCACACACCTTTTCCCAGCCAGGTGAATCTCCCACGTCAAACACTGCCTCCAATCCACCTACAATACTGGTGCTAGATGCGTCTGAGTCCGCCGGGTCTATCTCTCAGCTGGCCCCACCTGCTCTAGAATGCGCTGGAGAGGTTGCGCAATTGCCTACAACCAGACGGTCGCAACGGCCTCGAAAACCCAATCCTAAATATTATAATCCAAAGTTTGTTAATTTGACTTCAGCACATACCTTAACTCCTTTGCTGGAGCCGACTACTGTGAGCCAAGCGCAAAAGTCACCTTATTGGCGCAATGCGATGACTGAAGAGTTCCAGGCATTACTCAAGAATGAGACGTGGGAGCTTATTCCCCCAGGGTCTCAACCTCCAATCGGGTGTAAATGGGTGTTCCGTATTAAACGGAAACCGGATGGGTCTATTGATCGGTATAAAGCTAGATTAGTGGCGAAGGGGTATTTGCAAGAACGTGGCAAGGACTATTTTGATACATTCAGTCCCGTTGCTAAACCTGCAACAATAAGAATTGTGCTATCTATTGCGTTGACTCGTAATTGGCCGTTACGCCAACTAGATGTGAATAATGCGTTCCTGCATGGAACACTTATGGAAGAGGTTCATATGAAACAGCCCCCGGGGTTCTGTGATCCACTGCGACCGAAACATGTGTGCCGTTTGAAAAAGGCCATTAACGGTCTTAAACAGGCTCACCGTGCCTGGTATATGGCATTAACGTCATTCTTAATCTCTTTTGGATTCAGGAAATCGCGGGCGGATTATTCCCTCTTTATCTATCAATCTGATGATATTATAGCATATTTTATGGTGTACGTGGACGATATAATATTGACAGGAAGTTCTCCGCCGTTCTTGAGTCACTTTGTTAAATCCTTGTCAGCCCGGTTTTCCCTCAAGGATCTTGGCCTGTTGCGCCACTTTCTCGGTGTTGAGCTAATTCCCACTCCCGTGGGTATTTTCCTCTCTCAAGCTCAGTATATTACAGATATTCTCACAGAATTTCACATGCAGGATGCTAAGTCAATTTCCACTCCTGGGTCTGCTACTGAGCTACATAGTGATGACAGTTCGGCCTTGGCGGATGGCACTCTGTACCGTCGTGCTGTCGGGCTCTTGCAATACCTATCCATCACTAGGCCTGATGTTAGCTTCATTGTTAATCGACTGTCACAGTTTTTGAATACCCCAACCTTGTTGCATTGGCAAGGGGTGAAGCGTGTGTTACGCTATCTAAAGGGCACTGTGTGTCACGGCCTGTTTTTACGACGAGGATCAAGTCTGAATCTCACTGCCTTTTCAGATGCAAGCTGGGGTGGAATCCATGATGGAGGACGATCAACGACAGGGTATGTTGTGTACTTGGGTTCTAATATTATTTCCTGGCGATCGGTTCGTCAGAAAGCAGTTGCGCGGTCGTCTACCGAAGCCGAGTACCGTGCTCTTGCGAATGTGGCTGAAGTAGTCTGGTTGCGGAACTTACTGCTTGATTTAGGTATACGGTTGTCCACTACGCCGGTCTTATATTGTGATAACATGGGGGCCACTTATGTGTGCAAAAATCCCGTCTATCACTCCCGAATGAAGCACCTTGCGCTAGACTTTTTCTTTGTTCGTGACCTTGTTGAGAATGGGGCCTTACATGTTCATTACATCCGCACACAGGATCAAGTCGCTGATATGCTCACCAAATCTTTGCCACACCGCGCTTATGAAGGCTTTCGCTCCAAGCTGGGTGTCTCTGATGGATCCACCATCTTGCGGGGGCGTAAGAAGGCATAATATATTTTAATATAGTTTGCTTTATGGACTAGTTCTTCCTAGTTTGTAGGATTAGAATATTTCTAATAACTGTTCACAGGTTTTGGTGTTTCAGTTGTATGCTTGGCTATTTAAGCCCTCTTTCCCTGTTCATGAAATACATTCTTCATTATATCTCTATAGATAGTATGATTCAATTAAGTACTATACAGTAGAATTCTAAGGGTACTAAACAATTCACCAGATACAATAATGAAGCCAGAACAATTACCTTCAGCCTACAACATTTAAAAAAAAAATTATGAATAGATAATATGAAGTATTCTCCATAGATACACTAACAAAAAATTGAAACCATCCATGAATTCTTGAGCAGATAATATACCTTTATAGTGGCAACCACCCAATCTGGAAATTAAAAAAATAAAATAAAATCACATCAGTAGTTATTAACTGGAAAATATTATTGTGGGTTGTTCAGAAAATAGAACTGCAGAAAAAGAGCAAAACCATTTCAACCAAATGCAATCTGTCCTCCTCTTCAGCCTCTTTCCCCTGCAAATGAACAAATAAACAAAGCCAAGCCCTCTGGATCGCAAACAAATCTTAACCCAGCCCCTCAACTGCCTCCATTCCTACCTCATTCCCTTAAGTTTCCGTTTTCCGGTGGCCTCGTCGGTGATGAGTTGGAAATCGAGGTTGAGGTGCTTGAAGTTGCGGACGAGCTTGCCCCTAGGACATGAGAAGGAGCGTTGTCTGTGGAGCGGTGTGAGAAGAGAGAGAAGATCTCAAAGGAATTGTGGAGAAGACAGATCGGAAGGCGGAGAAGACAGATCTGAGATTTATTTTTTAAAAAAAAAAGCGTATTTGCCGATCTGAGAGAGTGAGTCGGCGACTATGGCGGTGGAGGCGGTGATTGCGTCGCAGTGGAGGCTTCGTGGTGGCGGTGGAGGCGTCGCGGTGGTGGTGGTAACCTGATGGTGAGGGAGAGGGAGATCTGCGTCGGATCTGCGGTGGTAACCTGATGGTCTCGTTGGTCTGGGTCTGATAGAGGTTGTTTGCCAAACTTCTCTTTTTCCCACTCAAAGTCCTATATTTCCCGCTTCTCTAAGTCCACAATTCCAGTATTCTTTTATTTTTAGCTAAATTATTAAAATTTCCGTCCAAGATTGTTGTTAGACAGAAATTAAATACCTACCTTTCTACCTATCAATCAATTCGAGTTTACCAACCAACATTACAGGTTGGTCTTAAATTCCGTCCAACCCACAAGTGTTGGACGGAAATTCCGTCCAACACTCGCGCGTTGAATAGAAATTCCGACCAACTTTCCGTCCACCAATTTTTAGTAACAGAAAGTTGAAAATTTTATTAAAATACCGATCAACTTGCAATTGGACGGAAACAGCGAGATTTTCAGCTGTGAATCATTCATATTCGTACTTGTTATGAAATTTTTATTACCATAATGGAATTAGTCACTTGAGGAAAAACCGCTAAGAGAACTTATGGATGCCTTGTATGCCTCACACGTTATAATGCCTTAAATTTGCCATGTTAAAGATAGTTATAAGTTTCACATTTACAATCAATAATTGTTCTTTGTGTAATATTTTTATGGGATAAAAAAAGGAGGGTAGAATATCCCCAAGATCTCAAGAGAGGTTCCTCTGCCATTACGCTTCTAGTCCAACAACATCTCACTGTGTCTTCCTCCAGAGTTTGACACGTACACCTCATCAGGGGGTGAAAAAATATTACTCCAATAGTCCAATTCACCATTTTATATATGCATTCTCATTCTTGTAAGGATATCAACCACCTTATTTAATTTTGTTCCCTGAAGATATGACACATGAACCTCCAATCCTTTCTCAGCCAACTTTAACAGGCTTCCACGAAATTACGCGTCAAGCATCTATCCAATGTTCATTTGGCTATTTATCCAGTCAACAACCTCTCGAGAGCTGAGTCACATTGCACAACAAGATTCCTAGTACCCTTTTTCCATGCCAATATCAAACCTTTAAGCTTGTACCCTTTTTCCATGCCAATATCAAACCTTTAAGCAATGTCCAAGCATCAGCTTCACCTAGACGATGATTAGCTCTTCATGAGCCCAAAAATCCCCCAAACCATTGATCACATCGTTGCGGCTCATGAGCTTGCCATAGATGGCGAAGTACGATTGGGGCTTTTGTTGTGTACGATGGTGGGATCGCAGAAATATGATAGGTGATGGCATCCTAGATAGCCTCTCTTAGTTGTGTGCCCTTTTGCTCAATAAATTTTTCAATCGTTTTGCTCAAAACGACGTCGTTTTGAACTAAACTTTTTTTTAAAAAAAAAAATAAATTCAGTAGTGAAGGGTGATGTGTGCGATGGTAGGATTGCTACACTGCGATAGGTAATAGCATCTTTGGTAGTCTCTATTAACTATATGCGTTTGTACAACAAGTTTTAAGATCGTTTCGCTCAAAACGACGTCGTTTTAAGCGAAACGATTTTTAAAAAAAAAATCCGACCGGCTAGACTGACTAGTTGGCTGAACCGGCCAATTAGTCAGCTCGCCGGTTACAACTAATGCTCAAATCATGTTCGCCTTGAGGTTCCTAGGGCGTAGCTCGTGCATAGACGGCCACCTAGGTCAAATTTTAAAACAGCAACGATGAGCATTAGCATAAGTAACCAAGGGCTTTTTAATATATCCCATTCAAATTATAAATTATGTTTCAAATTCATCACCCAATTATTAATTAGGGATACAAAAACTCTGCACACAGACTACTTATGTTAAAGTCATATATAGGAATATTCAGGACTAAACTCATTTAATTACTTAGATTAGAATGTCTTATTCACCATAATCCGATCCGGTTGCCGGAGGATTCCGCCCTGCTAACTCCTAAGCGTCGGCTGTCCACGTTCTTCTGCTATACAGATAAACTTATTAAAATAGGAAGCTAAAGATTATAGATTTCTGCTAATTAATATAAGAAATGATAAGTTGATGATACTGAGGAATTAGGAGCAACCTGGTTAAAAAGGAAAATCTGGTTGCCTGTCGAAGAATATCCAAGGTAACATTTCTTCCGGGATATCCAAAAGTTCATCAAACGTCGCCTCTCCGGTGACCTGCCAGGGGATTGGCGACGAATTCACAACAGCTGTTTCGTCAACGTTCAGAGCATCAGTGACGACTGGGTGGGTTTGTACTTCTTCGAACAGGCTACGATCATGAATAGTGCCTTCTGAAATTTGAACAGTTTGAAGTATTCCTACATCAGTATTAGTGACGGAATTAGTGGACATTGTCAGTGAGCTATCGAACTCATTATTATGATCACCATTTTGTGACGAAGTTCCATCATTCGCAGCAGCAATATTTTTTTCTTGCGGGGGAATATTTCCATTGTTATTGGTTTCTTCGACTGAGGGCATAAACCCGAACTTTTGGCCACGGGGGCGTCTAGGTTGAGAGGAGAATTGCATTGTTCGTGACCGGCGACGATTTCTGTGCTCCTCCAATGGCCTCCATTTGTTGTCACGACACCTCTGCAGATGACTAGCAACTTTTTCTCTTGTCAAACCTGGAACTTTCATCATCTCCCATATTTCCTTCGGAAAGCAATCTATTCGTCACAAAATATAAACAAAGTGAAGTTTACTCACATACAGTCAAAAGGGTGATAGGATTTCTCTGGTCATTCAAATAATGGTAAGGTGAGAAAGGAACGTACTTCCTGCTCCAAGCTGATTGACGGCGTCCAAGAATTTGGCATGGAGCTCTTCAGTCCACTTAAACTTGGGCCCTCTTCTCCTTGGCAAATGATTAATGTTGTTTGAATCTGTCGCAGTCTGATTGTCGGTGAAAACAATGTTGTTTTCTCCATTGATTAACGTTTCTGCCACCATGCTTATATCCAAAGCCTGACTACTGTGATTCATCAGTCTTCTTTCCCTATACACATGTTGCCAAAGGTACTTCAACATGTCTACTGGAAATGGTTTTTCCAGGTAAAGGAACACTCCTTGCTCTATAGCGCTCCTTGCCACCTCATCTCCATTTTCATCTTCTTCGTCACTAATCTCTGCAGTATTTGATTAAACAATAATGCATGTTTACCAGATTACATTAATCTTTGTAAAATGAATATATATGACACATAAAATGGGTCGAAATAAAAACGGTTTTAATGGTAGAATAAAGTACTTACGGACAACAAGCAGTTTCCTTCTAATGGCTTCTTGGAGGAGTTGAACGTTAACTTTCTTACCTGGTAGGTAAAAGTTGACCATTAACACATCAAATTTCTCCGTGCCATTGTAGAGTCTTGACAGTGCACAGCTTGCACTCTCCACCACAGTCACTGCCAAAGTCAATTCAATTTAATAATTAATTCCGATTTAAGATGATTAGAATGCATAAATTAAATTATTTTAGCTGAGAAAATATTGCATAATTCAACTATATAAACACTGATCATAACAATATGGTATACGTACTAAGAGTAAATAATGAATTAAGTAGTTTATTTTTTCGCCAATGACCTTATGATCTAATGACATGGAGTGACTTTCTCGTATAGGAGGTCTCATAGGTTTAAGCTTAGGTGGGGTGATATTGACTTTATACAACATTGTAATAGAATCAATAGTAGTAAAAAAAATTATCTTTTCCATTTTGATGTTTATATACATCCTTTAAGTTTTCTTTTTTTTTTAATCACAAAAAAATCTCATAACTATTACCCAAATATATAAACATAAAATCACACTTTTATGTAATAGCTCCAAACCACCACCTGGCGCAATCTACTACTTATCCTTTACAATTATTAATATTTACTTGTTGGGGGAAGGGATTAGGTGCGGGTGGTGCTTCCTGTGCGATTGTGCGGGTGGACTCACATTAAGCATTACACTAGCGCACTTTAAATACACAACACACGCACATTAAACACACAAACAAAATACATTCAGAACACAAACTCATCACACGCACCTTAAGCACAAAAGTCACGCATTTTAAGCACAACCCTCACACACCTGGCCTTAAGCACAAAACCCACGCACATTAAGCACAAAACCCACGCACATTAAGCACAAAACACACACACCTTAAGTTTTAAAAACAACTAACTCACATTAAGTAAACATTCACACACATTAAATACAAGATTCACGCACCCTAAGCACAAGACACGCACCTTAAGCACAAAACTCACGCACATTAAGCACAAAATTCACGCACCTTAAGCACAAAACTCATGCACCTTATGCACAAGACTCACGCACATTAAGTACAAAACTCACGCACATTAAACATTACACACTCACGCACATTAAGCATAAATTCCACGCACCTTAAGCACAAGACTCACGCACATTAAGTACGAAACTCACGCACATTAATCACCCGCACAATCGCACGGGAAGCATTCATCTGTACTGGAACTTAAACCTACTTGTTGGCATATATTAAATTAAAGTAGTAAACGATAATGGTTGTTAGTTGAATGCATACGTTACTTTTTCACATTAATAAGGGAAATTAATTAATTAATACATTAATAATAAAATAAAGAAAAATCCTCCACTAAATTTGTTTAGTTTGCAAAATGCTATTTAGATTTTTTTTTAAAGAATAATTAAAATATGTACCCAATTACGCATCATGAGCTGTGTAAGACAGTAAGACAACTAATTTATATATATATATATATATATATATATATATATATATATATATATATACACACACATATATATATACGTAAAAAAAAATTGATTTGAATAATTTATGTAAACCCTAAGAATATTTCGTTTTAAAGATATTTTGAGTGAAAAAACGCAAAAATTAAGAAAACAATATTTAGTATTGTACTGCCTGTACTCCGTATTTGATGAACATATATTACATTTAATTGATTATCTACCGATTTAGTACCTGCATGCACTGATCTTTTTATTAAATTAATGAAAATTTTAGATTTTAGTCTTTCGCTTTCAACTATGTTTTTTGTTCTACTAGTGAGATTCATGCGGCATGCACGACACTTAACACAAATATATTTTATTAAAAGAGTAAAAATAAATTTGTATTTTTTAAGAACCAGATCAGACAACCTCGTCACTATTTTGATGGTGTGTATAGATAAATAAAGAGACGAAGAATTGAAGTTGATAATTAAATACCTTCATACGAAAATTGCTTAAGAATCTCTGCAATCATGGAAGTTCCAAGCTCCTTGGCATTCACGACGAAATTCACGCGATGCTCAACGAGTAACACATGAACATCGTGCATAAGGCGTGGCGGCTGGAAGTCATCAGTAACAACCTGCGGGAAACTGTGACAAAAACCTCCGATTTCTCCCATGTCGACTAGTCGCAAATTGTGATGAAAATTAGGAAAAGCCGCCGCCATAAGGAAGTGTTAGTCTGTTGATATAGTGCAATTAAGGTTGCATTGGGTGGGCAGCAACATACGTAGAGTAGTACGTGCAATAATTGAATGCTGATGAGTGAGTATTATGAGTAGGGAGAAGAATAGGATAAGACTGAATTAATGCCACTGCTGCCTCCATTAGCAACTAAGTGTGTTAATTGTGTTCATTAGCAAATAACTATGTTATGTTATACAAGTAAGAGCGGGTTATTAGTGCACATTCTTGGCTATATCTCCATATCATGGGATAGTGATTGTAGATTTTTATGCGGTTTAAGTATTAAAAGCATTTAGATGACCCTCATTAATTTATTAAAATTGTTTGTGTAGTGTACCATAATGTAAATATCTTTAGTAATCAACAATTGTTCTTTGTGTAATATTTATAACAAACGTTTGTTTGTTTATTTATTTATTTATTTATTTATTTTTGTGCAACGAACCTTCACACGGCGGGTATTATCTAACTCTTTTGAACTTGGCTCCTCCAACATCGACGTGGCTAAAATAAGCTCCAGCAACTCATCCGAGGGATCTTCTAAAACGGCAGTTCCACACCTCCCTTAGTCTAAGCAAGATTAGTCTAGAAATCAGCACCCTTGTTACCTTCCCTCAGAACAAGCTTAAATAACACATCTTAAAAACCCGAAGCAAAGAACTTACAATGAGTGATGAGGGTAATAATTGTAACACCCCAAATTCTAACACAGGGATCAATAAACAAAAATGAAATATATAGATAATCGCACCACCACACGAAAAATCATTCCCACATCTGAACTCTTTTCTATATATATAAATAATGAAAAAAATTAGCAAGGACAAGTCGGTCAGGTTAGCTTGACGAACTCGATCGAAATGGATGATCAACTGAGTTAAGCGCTAAGTGGGCGCCTAGGTGACCGGTTTCTTAGGTTGGACCCTAGGAAAAAAATCCTTACAGCCTAGAGGCGCCTAGACCGAATTTTGCAACAATGTATAAGAAATGATAAGTTGATGATACTGAGGAACGAGCAACCTGGTTAAAAAGAAAAAGTTGGTTGTCCGCCGAAGAATATCGTCCAAGGTAACATTTCTTCCGGGATATTCAGCAGGTCATTAAACTCCGGCTCTCCGGCGACCTGCGGGGGGATTGGCGACGAATTCACAACTGTTGTTTCGTTAACGTTCAGAGAATTAGTGGCGACTGGGTGGGTTTGTGCTTCTTCCAACAGGCAACTATCATGAACAGTGTCTGCTGAACTTTGAACAGTTTGAGGTGGTACTCCTACATTAGTATCAGTGACAGAATTAATGGACACTGTCACTGATGAGCTTCCGTACTCAATATTATTACCACCATTTTGAGACGAAATTTCATCATTCGTAGCAGGAGCCAACAATTTGTTCTTGCGGGGGCATGTTTCCATTATTATTGGTTTCTTCGACTCGGGGCATGAAACCGAACTTTTTGTGACGGGGGCGTCTAGGTTGAGAGGATAATTGCATTGTTCGTGACCGGCGACGATTTTAATGGTAGAATATATGAAGTACTTACGGACGACAAATAGTTTCTTTTTAATGGCTTCTTGGAGGAGTTTCTTTTTTAAATGGATTAGTCGGCATTGTTTTGAGCGAAATAACTCTGAATTGTTCAGACTTTAGATGTTTCTTTATGTTAATATTTAATATTTTAGTTTTATGTATTAAAGTATTAAATAGTTTATAATTATCAAGTCTTAAAAAATTTTAAAAAAAAAAAATTAAATAAATTTTTAAAAAATAAAAAAAACACGGGTGCAAGGCGCCCCCGAGGACCCGAGGAGCACCTAACGACCCTGTGGAGAGATATTGACTCTATACTACACAGGGACGGAGCTTGAAATTCGGTTGGGGGGAGGGGGGGCAAAAAAGTACCGATTCAAAAAAAAATCAGTAAAGGCGAAACATTAAAACAAAATAGATAATTTAAAAATAAATAAATAAATTACCTATGAAATATAATTGTAAATATTGTTGGATACGGACGAAAAATAAAACACATCGAAACTTTATAAAAATATTCATAACAAAATATGAAACATAATTAATTTGATAAAATAATTTGAATAGAAAACACATTATAAATTACACATCTCATTTTTAATATAAAAGAATGTCATATATGTGTGTGTGTGTTAAATATTAAAAAAACTATTAAAAACGTGACTCTGTTGAAGTCATAGGGGAAGGAGTAAAAAAATTATAAAATTATTATTGATGCCAAGATTTAACCCTTAACCTTTCTATTGCCAAATATGTGTTCTACCAACTAATCTAACTCATTTTTTGTTAACATTTAATAATTTTTTTATACTAATACTGAAACATGTACTATATATACATATATACATGCAAAGAGTATATATGGGGTGGGGGTGGGGTGAGGGGCCCTCCTTTGACTCCGTCCCTGATACTACATTGTAACAGTGTCAATAATACTCAAAAAAATAATTTTTTTTTTTCAATTTTGATGCTGATCAGACATCCTTCAAGTGTTTTTTTTTTAAATAATAAAAACAAAAAATAAAAATTACGCTTTTATATAATAGCTCCAAATCACCTCTAATTATTCACAGCCACATAGTTCACACGTGTCGATCGTGATTTTACGTGCCGGAGAGTGCGGAGCGTTTTTACGTATAATAAGGGAAATAAATAAATAAATAAATAGATATAAAATAAAGGAAAAATGACACTTTTTTCCCCTGAGTTATATACCTATAGTATTTTTTTCCCTAAATTATTGAAGTGGCTGTTTTTTCCCCTGAAATGTTAAATGGACATATTTACCCTTAAACTAAATATTTAATTTATTTTTTTTCTCCAACAAATTATGACCATAATTTGGTTCAAACCAAACAAACACTATAGCAACCAAACCGAAATATTCCAATTACAATTTAGAATCGAAATCCGATATTTAGAGTTTATTAAAATTGTGAACCGGAACGGACGGTTCATGTTCCGAACTGAAAAAATAAAATACATATATTGTTGAATTTATACTATTTTAAAATAAAAAATAAAATTTTAAAATAAAGACGGTTCAAAATCGCGAATCGGATCCGGAACTGCCGGTTCACGGTTCAAGATTCAATTTTTTTGATATATAATTTTAATAAATTGACATTTAAATATTGGGTTCTAGATCTGAATTATAACCGAAAACTATTAATTCGATTGCTTTAGTATCCGGTTCAATTCAAACCGAACCGTGGTCATCCCTACGTATACGCAATAATTTGTTGGAGAAGTAAAATAAATAAAATATTTACTTTAATGGTATAAATGTTAATTGAATATATCAGGGAGGAAAAAGTACCACTTTTAGAATAATTGAAGGGGAAAAAGTGCTATAAGTATATAACTCAGGGGTAAAAAGTGTCATTTTCCGTAAAATAAAATAAAGATGAATCCTCCACTAAATTTGTTTACTTTGCAAAAATTCTATTTAGATTTTTTTAAAAAAAAAAATTAAAATATGTACCCAATTACGCATCATGAGATGTGTACGAAAACTTTTTTTTTTTTCTGAAAACTACGAAAACTATTTTATATATATGTTAAAAAAAAATTGAATTGAATAATTTATGTAAACCCTAAGAATATTTTTAAAGATATTTTGAGTGAAAAACGCAAAAGTGAAGAAAAAAATATTTAGTACGGATCGAGTACAATTGTAACGCCCTAATTTTCTAATCTTTTTTTAATTAAGTAAAAAGCTTAATTATCATAACTAATCCATTACATTAAATACTAAACATTAGACACTGTATCGAACTGGGTAAACATCTTGTGTGTTGCTTTGTGCCGTTATCTCTTTCTATAAACATCTCAATGATCTCCCTTACTGACTGACTTCATCGTTGAATCAGTCCGTCCTTTTCATCAGTTGGTTAATCTAGTTAATTTGATTAAAAATGAGGAAATGTAAAATTACAGGGCCATCTTCTAGTTGCTCCTTATCACCATTCCCTTGCAACCCTATACTCTCTCCCCAAGTTGGTGTTTCCATCTCAATGCATTCATCATAAACCTCATAATCTTCATCTTTATCTTCAAGGTCCTCACCCTCCTTTTCATTTCCATCAACCACATGACCTTCATTTGGTAAGAGCAACTCTTGTAGAACCTCTTCATTGGAAGATGAATCTTTAATGGGCTCTTGAGTTGTCAAACCTTATCTTTGAGCCATCAAGTTGTCTAGTTGAATTTGTAGCTCATTCAATTGCATAAGCATGTTTGACATCGTGGACTTCATCTCGGACTCTTGATCAAATGGTTGACATTCTTGTTGAGGTTCTTGGTAAGAGGCTTCTTAAAATTGGATTTGATATTCTTGTTGAGGTTCTTGATGTGGAGGTTCTTGAACTTGGCCTTGATATTGGAAATTAAGATCAAAGATGTAGCATCTTTCGACTTCATGTGGTCCTCCACATATGGCACACCAAAGAGGTTGTGGCATGAACATCGGTGGTGTACCTCCTTGAAAAGCTTATTCATTAACATTGACACTATATTCCAAAGCTTGTTGTTGATCATCTTGATGAGGCACTTGGTAAGTGGGAGTCAAAATATGACACTTTCCAAAGCATGAGAACCACCACATATAGCACACCATGGAGATTGTGGCTCCAAAGCTTGAAAAGTGTTTTCTTGAGGAACTTCTTGACTCATGTTGACACCACACTCTTGAGGGAAAGGTTGACAATCTTGAGGTGGTGTTGAACTTGTGGAGTTTAACTTATAACAACTCTCTAATGCATGGGCTTCACCACAATAGGAACACCACTTAGAATAAGAAAGGAATGATTGAAGTGGACCACCTTGAAAGGTCTTTATACCAATTTTGATGAAATCGGGCAATGACATTCTTTGTTCTTGGAAATCATACCCCTCCATAATTCAAA